TTTACCTTATACGGGTATTATAGATATTAAAATCATGAAGTCTAGAATGTATTTTTTATTATTTTCTATCCTTTTATTTTTTTTGACGATGATGATAAGTTACTGTGCAAAGGTCTTTCCCCAAGGAGCCAGCCAACAAGATCTTTACTCGAGCGGGTCGTTTCAGATAAGCGGAAGGTGGGGGGGGGAAGCGGAGGGGATCCCGGATGAGGGGAGGTAAAGGTGAAGTGAGGCGTGTGATGGTGAGTTGACGATAAGCAGGCTTCGAGAAATGGACGATGGTTTGTTGTCCGTCGATGATGATGTTGGAGTGGAAGGGGAAGGATGAATAGTGCGGGATGGGAGTGGGAAAGGAACTGATGTGTGAGGGGTACAAATTCTATGGAATGCGGTTCGTGGGGAAGGTCTGGCTGCTGGTTAGGTTCTGGGTCTAGAGCTGGTTGTAACTCGCAAGCGACCGGATCGAGGGCAGATCAGTGAAGGAGGGTGCTTTGTGGCGGTGCACAAGGCAGGGAAGATAAAGATAAGATTTTAAGTTCGGCTTGAATTGACGCCACTACTTTTCGGCTGTTGCGACTTACTCGTACAGTACGAGTCAGTCGCTGGTACGAGTAAGATGCCATACAGTAAGTCCTTTGTCAATCATCATTCGGCAGCAAGTTGACCTGCCGATAAAGGGTAACAATTTAGTAGTCCCCAGTAGAGCACAGTATGATATGATACTGCACATATACAGTAGCCCAAGCTTCAAGTCCCTCCCCCCTTCAACCACTCCCCCGGTAGCCTACTAATGATTGACATATCTCCCCACATCTGTAACCACCCGTTCTTGACTTACAATTCATCTATCATGCTCTGCTCCACAGTACTCGCACAGTACTGTGCACCACCTCAAGCCATCCAAAACCTCCACGATATCATACAATCAAGTATGATATCCACCGTATATCTATCTACCCACTCCGGGGTCCCTCCACTCCTCCTCCCGTAAGTAATTTTCCACAAAACCCCCCCCGATCCCATCGGCCGATTCCAAACCTACCTACCCCCTCCCTTCTCCATACGTGTATCCTGCCAAAGACGAAATTTCCCTCCTCTGTGCTCGTGTGTGCACTTCTGGAGAAGGGAGTTTCTAAGTTTTGTACTCGAGTACTGTACAGTACTCTACTGCATGTTCACCCCCTCCCACCCTGCCCCCCGCTTGAGTAGGTTGGATATCGCGAGATACGTAAATTGTTATTATTGTATCTTGCCATACATCACGATGTACAGACTCTTCCGAATCGAGGATGGTATCCATATGAGACTTTGGTTGAGCATACTCGGGTCAGGGGGTAAATGATGAGACGGACGGGGGTCGGAAAATGTATGTGCATACAAAAAGTACCTTCATTTCCTTCGCTTTGCTGAGCATCGCATTCTTGAGGCAGCTGCTGAGGATAAGGGCAATTGTCTTAACTATACTGTACACAACCCCCCCGGATGGATCCACCGCATGAATGGGTCACTACCTAGCCGCATTTTATCCTACATGTATC